ATGTAAAGTAGAAAAAGGATCTGAAGACCATGTTTGAAGAAGAATAGAAACAAATACCAACGAAAATTTCATAATCATCAATTGAGGACTGCAAGAAGAGGTTGTTTGCTGTAGAAGTGAATAATGGCTATTCTACAAAGTATTAAATGAAGATTATGTATTTTTTTTGTATTGTGCAAATACTCTTTTCATCCATTAAAATGGATAAATTGGATTTATTTCTATTAAATCAAAACTTTGTTTTTGTTTTCTAAGCATATTTCGTTGTTTTGCATCTGGGTACAGTTAATTATAAGTAAAGTATGTTTATTCATTAGTTTTAAATACAATAAATTAAAAAATATTTGTCACCCCCCCACACACACTGTATTTAAAACTTAAATGTTGAAATTGTTCTCATAATCGTAAGAAACTTAAGAAAATCTTTTTGGGCGCTATTTACAAACGAGTTATATAATACAGAGACAGGTTTTCCAACGACTACTCAAAAGGGAGAAAAGGGGGTACCCAAGACTCTGTTTAGCACTGAGTCAGACGTACAAAATACTCAATGCTCGAAAAGACGTACTTAACGTCTTTCCTGTATTGCATAAAGCTGTTGCGCCACTCCATATGGACCAACGTAAATATATGTGTTCGTGCCAAAGAGCGATTTATTTATGAACACCTTCGAGGCAAAATTAACAAAGCTTACTGATTTGAGTCAAGTACAAAAAGAGAAAGAAAGAAAGAAAGAACGAACGAAAGAAAGGAAAGAGATAGATAAAAAGGAGCTGGCTGAGATATATATAAATCGGATTAGACTGAGATAGTTTTCCCAAATTTCAGTAATCATTAAACGAGAAACAGTTTTTTTAAAAAAATCTTTTGGTATTTCTAGATAGAGGGATTTCAACAGATGTATTTAATATTCATATATATATGTATGTATGTATGTATATATTTGTGTGTGTGTGCGTGTGTGAGTTTGTGTGTGTCTGTGTGAAAGGGAGAGAAAGATATATTCCAGCAACAAGAACTCATTCAGAAAAGCCTTGTTAAATTCATCTGACAGGGCATGTCTGTTTAATTTGCTTTTTTTTTTAATAAGTTGTATATTCAAATCAAAATTGCCTATAAAAATTCATGTTTTTGTTCTAGTACATTCGTCGTCACAGTTATTATCAAAAACTGATTGCTGTCTGTAGAATAGAGACAATTTTTTTAACTACACCCTCGCATTTTGTGGAAAGCTACAATTGAAATTAATCAAAATATACGCATTTCGTTTCAGTGGTGTAATGTGTAAAAACGGTCTCCCATAGCTTATCTGCACCCAAAAAAGAATGTATCGAAAATTTTCTATGTGTTTTTATTATTTTATGAGTATATCAAATATTTTATCCGCTTTAAGATACCGTCTCCTGTATTAAAAGATATTTTGTTTGATGTAGATTGCGTCTTTTAATGAAACTCTCTCTCTCTATATATATATATATATATATATATATATATATATATATATATATATATATATATATATATATATATATATATATATATATATTCTTTCTCTGTCTGTCTGTCTCTCTCTCTCTCCATATATATATATATATATATATATATATATATAAAAAAAAGAGGTTATAGTGGTTCCAACGAGAGAAAAGTGTGTATATTAAAAAGAAGAGAAGAGAAATGTTTTTGGTTTTAATGTGGATTTTTTTTATTAAAAAAATATTATGCTTTATTTTCCATAATTTTACTACACGTGTTTCTCGCGACCGTCTTCAGGTAAAAGGCGGAAATTTGCACATATTATTAAAAATAATTAATTTGTTCTTATGTTTTTCAATGTTAAATATTCTCCATATGAGACATTCTCTGTTTTTGTGTTAGTAATCCGAACGTCTTTCTTGAATTGGCAGTGAAGAGTTCTGCGCGATGGGTCATAAAACAATTAAGGTTGGTCCAAGAGAAATGATGAATTACTTATCGGCATTTTATCTTTTAATGTTTTAATGACCCCTGTGTGTTCTTAGGTCTGTTTCCATTTTCGTGTGTTTCTATCTGCATGCGTGTATATATGCGTGCGTATATTCCCCCTCCATACATATACTGTCTTACAACGAGGAATTAGTAAACTCATTTGTACACATAAACACATACATACACATACGCACACACACACACCGTCCCACCACAAGGAATCAGTACATACATACACATACATACACACACATACTTCCCAAGTTACATGGAACCAGTATACACATACACACACATATACACATATATACGTACATACATACACACGTACTTCCTAAGTTGTGTGTGGTTTGTGTGCGTGCTCGTGAGTAGTTCCCCTCATATATATATATATCTTTCTCTTCCCAGCTTTGAATACATATCCTTCTTCTTTCTTTATGCTATTCCGAATACACATCCTTTTTTTTTCCTTTCCATTCACCCAATCTACATTTTTAAACATAATTTATGCTTAGCTTATTGTTTTTGTACCTGGAAAAAATTGTATTCATTAATTTGTGTGATGATGTTCGGCCTGATGAGTTAGAACCGAAATATCGGTTGTAATGAAATAAAAATATCACCATGAACTTTTAAAGTCTTCGTTTTCTTAATATTACATATATAGAATTGATACATACACAAACACACACTCACACACACACACATATATACATATATATATTACTAAATATGTTATGCGTTGTTTTCCTCTGTTCCTCTTTGTCTTGACTCTATCTTATGATTATAACATTTTCCAAGCCCTCTTTCCTCATTATTTGTCCTCGAAATTTCGGCTGTCTCTTCCTGATATTAAGTATAAGTGTCCATTTTTTTTCTCCATTTCATATAGAACTTCACCGTTGCTCACATATTCGATCTATGATTCTTATATTGGTTGTTATCGTCACGTTTCGTCCTTTGAACCTTCTGGCCTTCTTCAGTTGTCTGTCGTAGTTGGTAATCTTCCGGGACTTTCAGACTGATCCGTTTATTAAATCATCCACAATGGTAGATTTTTATCATTCCATTCTCCTTGCTAGAGGAGATCTAGTACCAATTAATTCTATCGTTTTAATTTGTCTTTGTGATACTGACAATACCATGAACAGAACATGTGAACAACGAGGAAGTCTTAAGAAAAATAGGAACTATAAAGAAACTTATATTTGCTATCAGAAAGATACAGCTGAAATGTCGAGGACATATAATGAGGAAAGAAGAACTGCAGAATCTAAAACTCACAGTGCATACTGAAAACGAGAGAAACAGATGAGGGAAAAGCGAGTAAACGACTTAACAAGTTCACGTGAAAGAATGGCAGAACAGCAACAATCAAGAATAATAATAGGCAAAAAATTACAGCAACACAAAGACAGATTGCCTATGTTCTGAAATGAATTCGCATTTAAATAAGTCAGCGGTGAATGTTCGAACTCTGTTAAATCTAGGATTTCGAACGCTGATTTTTCAAGGAAAGCAGATCTTGCCCATTTCCTAATATAAATGTCAGATAATTGTTTTTGTCGGACCACAACGGATTTGAGTTTATGCTTTAATTTGCTCGTCCATATTCTTGCCAATTTGGACATCGCTGCCATGGCTGCGGTAATCAGTAGGCGGATTTCTGAGCTGCCGGTATCATCTTTAGACAAGATTATAATACTATAAGATACGCAAATGATACTGTGTTGATGGCTTCCGCGGAAAGAAAACAAAAGGACCTTCTGAACATAAAATTTAAAATAAATAATTATAAAATAAGAAATTTGACTAAAAATCAGAAAACAAGATATCTGAATCCCTTAAATAAAAACATTCTGAATGTCTTTTAACATATCGAGAAAAGAAGTCGGGAAAATGCCTTAATAATTTAAGATACAAATGCGGTAGTAGGATACACACTAAAGATGAAACTGATTGGTAGGACACACGCTAAAGCGGCACCGAAATAAGCATTCCAAAATCTAAGGTGCTTAGAAACGGGAAAAATCCGTTAGAAACAAAGAAAGGAATGTTAGGTTGCTATGTCATATCCCTCCTTTAGGAAAATAGCAACAGAAATAACACTTATACTCAGAATCAGGAAAAAACAGTGGAAATACCTTGGACAAATTATGAGGAAGGAGGGCTTGGAAAACTTAATCTTCACGGGGCATATTGAGAACAAGAAATATACCTGATGGGCTTGTGTAAATCGATGTCGGAACGGGGAGTAAGAGCCTTGGCAAAAGGAGAAAAATTGATAAGGCGGCCAAAGTATAGGAATTTGTGGAAAGCCCGTGATCACATAGATACTGAAGGGATGCGGCACATAGGAAAAAAGAAGCAAACTCTTGCGAAGGTTCGATTATGCGAAAACCGCTTTGTACATAAGTGTGTCTCCAGAGCCAGTGCATAGTAACTCTGAACCCTCTGACCGGGTGGAACCTAAGTTTGATTGGAGATTTAGGCGAGTGCTTCGTAGCTCACTATCGTATCAACATTTGCTTTTTTCTATCTACATTTATATACGTTACAACTATTAAAGCATGAAGAATTTTCGCGGATTTTGGTGTCATTTTGGGGTATTTTTTCCGTGAATTTGTTTTACTTATGCTAAGTCTCGTAAAACACTATATAAATTCACTATTTTCTTTATCCTTACTGTTGAATGTGTTAAAATTCTAATTTTAATAAGAAAAAGTTGATGTTAAAAATTGCCGCAAAACATTGTTGATTTGTTTTAAGATGGAATGATCTATTATGACAAGTCTCTTAATTTGTATTTAGATACATTATATTTATTTTCAACTTTTCTGGTTGAATTGTTCACCTATATTGCATATGATGCATTAATGTACATAATTAGGTTACAATAGAATATGTATTGTATATAAATACTGCCTTATGAAAATTCAGTTGTAATAGACTGGTGGGCCCCGTATCATAGATTCGTGGGCGCCAGTATCATAGATTCGGATGGGGCCTCCAGACACTTGCGCCGGCCCTGTATGTCTCAATATACGCGTTCATTCTGCGCGCGCATGCGTGGTATGTATACTTGTCTGAGCGAGCAAAAGGTGAATGTGAGTGCAAAAGCATGTGAAGTGTCGCAAGGTCATCGTGCCCAATTTTTAAAACATTTGATTAATGCCTCTCACCATCAATCTGTCTCATTCCTTCTTTCTTCCTCCCCTCTTCCTATCCCCTTTCTCTATATTTTATCTCTCTTCGCATTCTTTCCTTCATTTTCTCTTTCTCTCTCTTTCTTTCTCCCGCTCTCACTCTCTTATGGTCTTTTATTTTCCCGCTTTCTTTCCTCCCTCACTCCTTTCTCGTTCTATCTCTCTTTCTTCTTTTTCCTCTCTCTGTTCTTCCCTTTTTTTGTTTCTCACAAGTTTTACCTCTCTCGCTCGCTCTCTCTCTTTCCCCTTTTTACTGTTTCTTCACATTTTTGTTATTATCATTCTCTCGTCTCTCTTTTTTATTCCGTTCTGTCTACACCGCACACTTTCTCTTTTTCATGTCTTTCTCTCTCAGTCCTTTTCTATTTATTCTCCATTTCTATACTTTCTTTCCATATATTCTGTCACTCTTTCTCTCTGCTCTTCTACTCCTCCATCTGTCATTCTTTATCCGTTTCTTTACCTCTACTTCTAACCGTCCCTGTCTATTTTTCTTTCTTTCTCTTCATTATCTCCCTTCCTTCTCTTCTTTCACGCCCAGTCTTTCCCTCCTTCTCAGATTCTCTATTCCTTCTTTCTCGTTCCCTTTCTGTCTATCTGTCTCTCCCCTCTCTCTCTCTCACACACACACACACACACACACACACATGCACTCACATACATAAATGCCTTCTATACCTGTCTCTTTCTCCCCTCTGTCTCTCCCTCTAGGATACTCTCCATACTTCTCTTTCACTACTTCTCTTCCGCTTTCTCTATATGTCACTCTTTCTTTCCCTCTCTCACTCTCTACTTCTTCCCTTTTTTTTCACTTTATATATCAGTCTTCTATCCCTCTCTATCCATTTTTGTCTGTCCCATTCTTTCCCTGCCTTCTATTCCTCTATATGTCTCTTTCTGCATCTTAACTTCTATTTCTCAGATTATATATATATATATATATATATATATATATATATATATAATGTATTCGAAAATTATGACATAAATATGTCCTTCCTTTATACATCTCTCTTTCTTTAGACATATTTTCTCTCTTTCACGTTCTTCTCACTTTCCTCTCATATTCTTTTACTTTCTTACTCTCTCGTCTTGTTTCTTCTACGTCCTCTTCTTTCTCAAATTATCTTCACTACCCTCACCCCATCTATCTTTATCCTTTTAATTTTCACTTTACGTTCCAACCTTTTCAAAGCTCTAACCTAGAATTGGATTACATTTTCACGAATAATTTATGTCTCTGTTTATTTTAATTATACCGCTGTAAATCCCAAATCTAAGTACTTTCATTTTTTTTAACTTTATTTTGTACTTTTCTATGTTCCGTCTTTTGCTAACCCAACTCTCTCGCCTCACACCTGTCACTAGACTTAACAGAATTTCTTTTCAAGCACCTAACTGATTTCAAATACTTCACTCACTCACCTATCGTGTCATTAAATTTGTTTTTTCTTTATTTCTTTTTATCTATCTTTATTTATTTGCCAATATTTTCCAATATCTCAAATCTCAACAGTACGCGAAAGTGGCAAGACTAGAAATGAAAAAAACAATGGAATAAAATAGTTTTGCTATGATAGTCTAACCTTATCTAAACTTAAGTGCTAAAGCGTTAATCAGCAGTAAAATGGATATATTTTTGACCACCGCCACTTGCAGCATAATGAAGTATATATGCCATAATAGATAAAAAGGTATTGTCGCTGTGGCGGTGCATTTTGTTCGAACCACGTGACTTAAAAAAACTTGTTCGTCCTCTCTTGTTCTTTCTTTCTCTACTATCTGCTGTTGCTGCTGTTGTTCTATTTTTAATACTTGAGCTAATATTTCTTCCATGTTTAAAGAATACCTATTTATTTATATATTTTTGCACACACTAAAGAAAAAATAAACCAACGTGGTTTTAATTTATCATCGCCGCTTTTATCATGAAGCAAAAAAGAGCTTTTTCCTACCCCGTATGAGTTTCGATCGCTCGTCGCCACTGTTATAACTCTCTCCTATCGGTTATAATATTATGTCTCGCTTAGGCTACTTGTCGAGACGTCATTAGAAATTCTCTTCAATAGATTCCAACGGACTTCATGACTCACTTTGTGTTCTTTATTTTAGGCGTCTTGCCTAGTTCATTTTGTGTTACCGGGGTGCCTTATTTACTCCACAATACAGTGAACACAGCATGCCATAACAATAGCGATATAGTAGTGAAAAGCTTGCGATCGTTCTTCTGTGGGAGTTACATGTGATATCCATTTTACCTGTAGCTTTTGTTGAAAGTCCTCAAATGATGTTGTTTATGTTATTTTTTCTTTGTGATTCTGTAGCACCAGTCCAAAAGTTTCGAAAAAGTGTTGTCTCCGCCACTTCCCACAGGCTTCACGTGCTCAAAACCATTTTTAATCATTTTTTACTTTTTTTCTTGGCTAATAATTTTTTTCTCTTTCTTAATACTTTTTACTTAACTTTTGGAAGTCATATTTCGCTATCCCAATGCACCTTCGGATTTCACTGTCTCACTTTCCGTCCTCTGTTAAATCTCTTTCCAGATATTTAAATTGTTGTACTTGTCTGATTTTGTTATGTACAATTTGTAATTTTCATGTGTAGCTGTTGCTTTTGCTAACAACCATAATTCCGTCTTCTTGCATTTGATGCAAAAAAAGATGCATCCTTGTCTTACACCTCTTTCTATTTTTGCATATTTATTGAATGTATTTTCTATCCGCATGCAGCCTTTTTCTGCCAGTAAGGCTTCTGGACTGATTCTAATATCCTTCCTAAATATCTCAAGATTGCCTAGAAGTTACTTTATAGGGACAGAAATGTTATCGTTGTTTTATACGGGATAGAAATTATGTCGCTTATATGGGACAGAAAATATATCATCTTATATGGGAAATTATAGGTTTTTAGAAATTATATAGCGTGACATAAAATTAAATTATATAGAACAGAAATTATATTATTCTGCATATAACAGAAATTATATGGAAGAAAAATCATATATTTTATATGGAACAGAATTATATCACTTTTAATGGGATGGAAATTATACCATTTTATATGGAACAGAAATTACATCGCATTTAAGGAGCATAAATTATATCGATATTTATGGGACAGAAATTATGTCTCTTCATATATAAAGGGTGGGCCAAAAGTAGGCATAGAGTTATTATTTATATGCTCTCGTGACATTTTAATTTTTGTTCTTAAGGTTGTAGCACCAAAATTCAGAACTGCAACTAACTTCACTGAACTGTTTTTCCAACAAAATGCGGCACCTCCTCATCATGTTTTGAAAGTAAGAGACTACGTTAACCAAAACTTACCACTACATTGAATCAGACGGTACAGCAGCATTGAATAACCACCACGTTTAACCGACTTAAGACGAATTAATTTTTTGGTAGAGGTGTAGTAAAGAATAAGGTTTTTGAGGAAAAATTCTCACACAGTAGACGAATTAAAAGTGTTCATCTTGGATGCATTTATCAACATTGACGTGGATCGGAATTTGTGTTGTACTGTGTGTCACATTGTTCTGGAGAGGCTCGAAGAATGTTGCAAGGTTGAAGGAGGACATTTCGAGCACTTACGAGATTAATCAGTGTTAAACAAATATCATTGTAATAAATAAATATAAATATAATAAAATGTAAAAAAAAAAAAAAACCTGTAAAGTGTATACCTAATTTTGGTCCAACCCGCATGTAACAAATTATATAATTTATAAATAAATATTGCGATTTAAGTTGGACAGAAATGAATTCTTTTACATAGGGCATAAATGAATTCTTTTACATAGGGCATAATTTATATCGATTTATATATATGGGACAGACTTCTTTCACACTCAATTAGGTTGAAGCGAAAATGAATCGCATATTAAAACGTAGACGATGGATCGAACTTGTTAAGAAGTTTCTTCTTTTTTCTTTTAGTTATTCTTCTGCAAAGAAGATTGTGTCATCGGGTTTAGAGTTTAATTTATTTTATTACGCAGCTGAAAGATGAAACAAGATAAAAGGCTGGAAATTTATTTAATCATAATAAGCAGTGTCAGCCGAGTTGACCTCTTCCCCTTCGAACAGATCGTTATTTTTGTCGTCAGTGTTTTCCATTCAATAACTGTCTTTGTTTTCCATTCAATAACTGTCTTTGTTTTCTTCCTGTAACTGTTATGAGTTGTCTTCGCATCAATCTTAAAATGATTGCTTCAGGGTAAAGAGCTACCCTTACTTTTGTTCAATGACGTGATAGAAGCGGGAAATAAAAAATAGCATATTGTTATTGGCTACACCTCTTGCTTGCCATGAATTTATACTGGTGCCTCAGGAAAATATGGAATATATATATATATATATATATATATATATATATATATATATATATATATATATATATATATATTTAAAACTATACCCCTTAATGACGTAAGCAATCATGGTGCTTCACAGGTTCCTTTTTCTTCTGTGATTCTCCCTTTGCATTCTTTTCGTAAGAAGGAAGTTCCATTCGGACAGCTTCTTTCCGAAAGCAAATGCTCGGTGGAATACGCACCCGGGAGAATGCTTCCCTGATAACTATAATTTTACCCTCTTCAAATCTAGGGTCAAACGTTATCTATCCCACATAATCTAGAATTCATACATCCATTAAACCTCATTCATTTTCAAGAAAGAATTTCCACTCAAAGCTTCCCAAGAAGTGATACTTCAAGGAACAAACTCCTGAGTGGATGCTTACAATCTTAACCTCTTCGTTTCTAGGGTCAATAATTACCTATCCTCTTTAAACACATAATCTTCCTACTCCCTCCTCTTACATTCATATGACACACCTCATTCAATAATGCTCTACTTTGAGCAGATCTTGAGCCTTGTATTAGATGAACATTAATAAAAGAAGTATATGATTTACAGAGAAAACTCATAACAACCAGAAAGTGACAGGTGAAAAATTATTGGCAAAATTGTGAGGAAAGAAGGCTTGGAGAACATAGGATATATCGAACTACCTACAAAATCTGAGTAAATGAACAGGGAACAAGTACTCTAATGATAAAATAGGAGTATAAAGGAACAAGTAATACTGTGGAAGCTGTAGAGAAACATGATAGACCAATAAACATGTTACAGATAGATAGATAGATAGATAGATAGATAGATAGATAGATATTGTATTAATTAGTACATATACGCGTACCTACGTTTTTGGCGTGCGACTATAGTTTCCCTGGGTGGTGTTTCCAGATCGTCAGGCACGGGGACTTATATCGTGCAATGCACGTGTGCTTATCGGGGTCCTAGTCTCGATAGGATCACGTGCAACTGCCGCAACCGTGACCTCTTCCCCATGAACGGCAAGTACACGCGCAAAGGAATTATATACGAGGCCAGCACCACGCACAATTGATAGTTTCCATTAGAGGGACACAAGTATACAGAGAACAGACATCGAAAGAGTACATGAACTTGCCAGAAGACAAATTTTGAATCCGGTCGACAAAGGAAAATGAATCCTTTATACAAAATTCACCCAAGCACTGCAACACAGGTTCCAAAAGCGTTGAGAGCCATTGGGTTACCTTGTGTTGGGCTGAATCGATCATTGATAAAATTGGTCGTAATAGAACCCCCTCCTTATGGATTTTTGGGAGCCCATACAGACGGGGACGAATCGAGCCAGAAGGTCGGATTTCATTGGCAATTTCTTGTGGAAGCAGCCCAGACTTTCCCCACTTCAGGAGTAATTTCTGAAATTTTGCTTCACCTGAAGTAGTTCCGTCATAACTATCTGCAGATCCCAGCTTGGTAAATTTCGAAGTATCTTCTAAGATCGAAGACATCTTGGTTACATAATCTGCTCGATCTAAAATAATTTTTATCTGGTCTAGAAATTATTAGATCATAATTATTCCTCAGGGAATTAACCACTCGCTGATATTCAGCTTTCCATTTCGATTCAGAAGTAGCAACAGAGGAACTAGAATTTTGTATAAAGGGTTCAATATATATATATATTATAATTCATTCTTTCTCACCTCCGACTCTACTTACTTTCCCTTTCTCTCTCTCTCTCTCTCTCTCTCTTTCTTTCTTCTTTTCTTTCCTTTTCATCCGATCTCTATTTTGCATCACTTATCATTTCCCTTGGTCATAACTTTATCCTACCATCCTTTTCTTCTTTGTAAAGCAACGATGCTAATAACAAAGTCTGTCTCCTGCCTTTTACCAGACAAAGTGACATTGATTGTTGGCTATCATTCAAAAGACTAAAGCATTTTCCACATAGGGCGGGGAGATCTCATAATCATCGGGAACTTGAATTTAATAACACCGAAATCCAGGAAGAACAATAAAAGGTCAACTGCATATTAAATAACACTTTAAAAGAATTTCTCCCCTTTTCTGGGCAATGAGTTTTATTCATTTTATTACTGCAATGTCATATTTTGCAAGTTAGTAGAACAATCTCCGATAGATTAGATTATTTCGCAAATAAAAATTTATTTCACAAAAATATTAACATAAGAAATAGCAATGAGTCAATACATACATATATATATAATATATTTTCTGTTTATACGTTATATTTATAGATACAATTTAAGTAAATGTTCTGCTAGTAATTAAACCTAGAAATTTGCACTTCTGTACTGATAACATGTAGCAAATTATTAATTCCCTTAACAATTACATTTTAAGTAAATTCCATGGGAAAAAAACTAAATCTAACATGGAAACCCCCTGTAATTATAGAACTAAAGAAAGCTACCCATTAGAGGGCAAGTGCAAATCCACTAGGGTAGTATACGAGGCATCCATTACCCCTAAAGAAAATACTACAAAATATATTTACAACGGCATTTCTGCAGGGGAATTTAAAAAGAGAATCAATACACATAAACATTCATTCAGCAATCCAAAATTAAAACACCAAACAGCCCTTTCGAAAAAAAATTTGGGAATTGAACGAAAAGACTCTGAATCCTCAAATAAATTGCAAAATTCTAGGTTTCGCGAAGACCCCCAATAGTTCTAGGAATAGGTGAAAGCTATGTTTAGAAGAAAAAATCAGGATATTAACATATAAGATCAATGCAAACTATTAAATCAACGGAGGAACTAATCACGAAATGTAGACATAGTAAAAAATTCCAAATTACATATGAATACATGTGCATATATGTGGGGATGTATGTGCACGTATAGTGGCATATATGTATGGACATGTAAGTGTACATATATATATGTATGAAGATATGTTCGCATATAAGTTTGTTGGACAGCATGATTTATTCCACTGGGTGTTCGGGTTACCCAAAATCTATAAATCTATGACTCATTTAATTTACATTACACTTAACGGGTTTAAGTTTAAATCCCTCATCACTTATTAATAATATTGGACATCTGTAGTAAAAAAAACAAAAAACTATTTACTGTGAATCCCAGAAAAACACATTCGGGGCCTGTATACAAAATGCCCCATAGCAGGAACTGGTATAGTAGGAACTTATATTAAACTACAAACAACAAAGGTTCTGGCCATAAATATATTTCAACCCGTGACCGCTGCACCCGGGATAAGATATCTTACGGCCCCCACCAATCTCTCACACAAACCCATTCTCATTAACAAGGCGCCTGCCAGGAGAGGACTGACTTTGAAAACAAATTTAAAACATTGCTCCGAGACACTGACACTTAGGGACTGATTATAGCCACGGACAGACCATTGAAATAGACTATCTCTATGTTGAGGTAATCTTTGTTTTTTTTTTTTGCTGTAAAAATACATATGCTTTATTAAAATAAAAACATTGAGCTCTCTGTGGATCAGTTTTAATAAATAATATTACTAGGGTCCACCCGGATTAAATACCAACGGTCGATTACCTGTACTATATATATATATATATATATATATATATATATATATATATATATATATATATATATATCCTCTCATTGTCGGCCACTGTCGTAGATTGTCTTTTTGTTGTTAATGATATTAAGGGACAGAACTCCACCTAAAACCATATGTTTCTCAGGTTATTGGGCCATGAGTACTTGCCCATTTGATAATCTTCACAGCCAAGACTGGGAAGTGCCCGTAAGACATACCACCCGCATACTAAGCTTATAGCACTTAGCATTTCCAAGTGGTCACCCATCTACACTCTGACCAGGCTCGACGTTGCTTAACTTCGATGATCGTACGAGAACCGCGATTTCAACGTGATGTCTTTATAAAATGCATTATATTAGGTTTCGAAATATATTATTATAAATGTTAATGTTGCTTACTTCCTTGTACATATTGCTTACTTCCATTTACTCACGAGCTGTGATGTTAAGATCGTTACTAATCTCAGGGTTGAAAGTGGCTTTATCGGAATAACTAAGCAATTTAATTAAAAAATCCGTCAGCAAAGCAGTCACGTATTGCCCTTACCCATTAAAGGACCTGCACATCCAAGTTTACAGTACCAGGTATTCTCAAGCGGCCACCCATCTAGGTACTGAACCGGCTCGACGTTGCTTAACTTAGATGATCGTACGGGAAACGGTGTTTCAACGTGATCTGGTTGTAAGCCAAATAGGCTTAGAGGTAAACAGCGACGAACCTACCGGAACGGCTTGTGAAATGGATGCCAGAACTGAGATTGGAATGGATAGTAAGGCAACAATTATTACTCAGAAATCTGATCTGAAATCATATGGTTCTTAGTTATGAGTGCCTGTCTGTTATCAAATACTTGATCATCTATACAGGCACACCGTTCGCCATACAATACCATGGTCTGGTATGGTATGTTACATGAATTACTGAATACCTACAAGGTATACACAGGATTTATTATAGTGGTTAGACATCTCTAGATTCACTGTGTCATGTCTATTGTTCAGGCAATATTCACGGTGCTATCGCGAGAAGAGCGTGGTTTTTCACTACTCACGGAATACCTTCATTATGGAGAGGCAATTACAAGACTGCTATTGCAAAGTTTAATGCATATTTGATGCATCCATTGTCCTTGGTGTATGAGGTCTAGTCGAGTACGCTACAGAAGGCCATCCCGAAAACGTACTATCCATCTGTATGACTCCTTAGCACTTATTAGCAATGACAAAAGCCCAAAATCAACCTAAATCTTTGATCCCTTAATGAACAAAACTTGAACGATTCTGAACGTACCGAATTGTACTTTTAAACATTTCCTGAAAAGATATTTCCAGTAAACATATTAAAAACAACACTTTAAGCCAGGAATATTGATTGAATGAATTTTTTTACGGTTTATCAATTGTTGACAGGTTATTTAAAACCGGAAAATATTTTTAGATTATAAGATATTTTGGGGGAGATAATAATTTACTGGTTCAAGTAACCCTAACCCTAACCCTAACCCAGTTGCAGAGACACTTGGATCTTGACCAATTGCAGAAACGCCCGGATCTAGACATGCCAAAGTAACAGGGAAAACCCGAATGTAACTGGTGTTGACTGACTTGTCCGCACACGACCCAGGGATTCTCTTGTGGCTTTACAGACGGGCGTTCATCACAGATATACTGTTGGAAAATCCTTAGTTATTATAATAAATTATTATGATATTGGTTATTTATGTTTATTTTTTGTGTGTTTACAGAAGTTTTGTGAATGAAAACCTCGGTTGGTTGGTTGTTTCTTGCTTCGGGTGAAACGATTAAAAACAAATCATATACCTCAACCCAATAGCATTGTCATAGATTGAGACCTAACTTAATCATCTCTTTTGCTCAGCGTTTCAGCAAAATAATGAGAAGGGGGGGGGCTAAAGTCTCCAGGCTTTCTGTAGCGCTTCAAAATGCGGGCTGTCTACAACTTTCTGTATACTGTTGCCCTAACAAGGTTTGACTCTTTAAAATCATTCTTAGTCCCCGATACATTCACATAAACTCAAATATATTCACGCTCTTTTCCTTCTACCTCTTTGATATGACTTCTGAGCGTTAAATTTTACAAGTCCTCTTTCCTTAATGTGACATTCAATTACGTGCTAATACCTTTGGGAATGGCATGAATCCATCTCTTATCTTCCTATCTATGGGTTAAATAGTAGGACTTGTAATCACTAGCAAAAAAAAAGAATTATTCTTACAATCGAAAATATGTTTCGGCTTTAAATAAGCCCAATTGTTTTGATAAATAACAAATAAGTCTATCAAACAAATCCTTACAATCTGTCCCAGAAATTTCAGTTTCTCTTAATTTTAGACGTTCTTCTAGTCGTCATTTTCTTTAAATCTTCCACAATACTCTGCCCATGATATTCTCAGCCTCCGCCGGTAGAACATCATCTCTGTCGCTTCGCGTCTTTTCTCTATCTGTAAAGAAGTTGTCAGACATTCACTACAATACAAGAAGATTGACATGAAACAGTATTTCCGTACTTTTTTTGTTTGTTTCTAACGAAATATTTATATTTTTAAGAAACTTTAATAACGAGTTGACGACTACGAATTGGAGAAGCCAAAACCAAGTCAGTAAAGGGATTTAACTACGTCATAAGTCCTCTAAAAGAAAACGGGACTGAAATCCGAAGACTCATTGGAATAGTTAAATAGTTAAAGTTAAAGAAATATTAAACAAAAAAATGCTTATATGCGGCGCCATGTCTATGCTCCTATATAGCAATAAATGCTGGACACTCTACTTCGTTATTTAAATCATTTCACTCCAAGCAAGGTGATAATGACACTAAGACGAAAAAGGATTAAAAGGATTGAAACATAATGAGACGACTTTAGCGAGGAAAAATAAGGAGAAAAGACAATAACAGAATAGGGTTCAGAAAGACAGAAGGTTGCAATTGGCGTTGAATTCAAATTTTTGAAGATTTCAGGTGGCAGAGAAGCAAGAAATCTGAAGAGAGTTACACAGGCGAGAAAAGAAATTATTAGAATAGAACTTACAGTTGTATCTAGATAGTTCAACAGTAAAACGGCGAGACCTAGTGCCAATCTAGTAGCACGCTTAAATTGATGCAGTTGAGGCAACAAAGAGGAAAGCTTATCAGAACAATTGTCATGAAGATATTTGTAGAAAAGACAGATAATCTACGTTAAAGTCGAGATGCTAGATCGATTACAGACCCTTCTTTTAATTTTGTCGAGAATCTCGAGATATATAGCAGGAGTGTCAAACTAGATATAGCAGCAATTTCAATGCATGGACGAAGGGTAAATTTATAAATGTTCAAGATGGATTCTGACGAGAAAACTTTTTGAAAGGGAACTTTATATATGATTTCATAAACTGAAGTATATTATCCTAAATGGATTAAATGAAAATTCGGTGTCCTTGCACCTTACATTGGCTTGTCAAAACATATGCCCGGGAGATATTAATGCATAAATTTGCGTATGTCCACTAAAATTAATATGGCGGAAAATATAGAAGCGAATCGTCTTTCCTCATTTTAGGCCTAATTATCTCTCCAGTATCAACTTTCTCGCCTTTTTAAATTATTTTTTCTTTTTATTTATTCTTTTATTTCTCTCTCTCTCTCTCTCTCTCTCTCATTCTCTCTCTCTCTCTTTCTCTGTTATTTTTTTTTTGGTTAAAAGGATATGAACTTGATATTTTACCTTCTCCAATTTACCATCCCATGCTCAGCCTAATTCTTTTGTAGCCGTTCTCAACATGGCCGCACTGATAAGAAAAAAGCAGTTCGTCGGAAATTGCTGCTGTCCGCATATTTTTTTCAAAGAGTACCATTTCCAAAATAGAAATGTCATCGCATCGTTCCAACAATAACTGAATTGAATTTCCAATTGAATTTTCAACTGAATTGAATTTCAAATACCTACCCCCGGATGAATGCTTTGATTGGTTCAAACCACACTCATTGCACACACACACACACACACACACACACACACACACACACACACAAACCACACACACACAGATATATATATATACATATATATATATATATAATGGACACAACACAAACTCGCTTTCGCGACGCTTGAGTCTATATTTGAATGATAACATTTTTAGGCATTTAAAACAAGATGCCTGGGCGCATGCACAATTCCGAAAAATCGTCGTTGAAAACACAACTATACTTAAACATGAAAACACTAAACAAAAACTAAAAATTCTTGAAGCTATATGCATAAAACAGTTGAAACCTAACCTGAACGAAATAAACTATGAAATCTCCACAAATATTCTTAAATGCCTATAATTGATAACAGAAGCCATCGGTTCATACCAATGGCTTCACATACTTAATACTTTTCGTTTTCACTCTCGGTTGGTCATGTGTGATATCATGAGCTGCCGTGCGATTTTCCAGCGTCTCGTATGCACGATTTTGTTGTTGCTTGGAAATCTTCCATGGAAACAAAAACAGACTATCATTATTGTTATTTTTCCGTGTATTGGTTAATATATTGTAATGTAATTGTCATCTTTGATAATGGCTTATGTAATTCGAAAGCTTAGATAGGATTAAAAAATATGTATCAATATGGTGATTTTCTTTCATCTTTTAAGGATAATGTTATTAAGCTTATCAGACGATATGACAAGAATTTACATAAAATAGACAAAACTTGTCTATATTATTTAATTAAACATGCATCAATATATATATATATGTATGTGTGTGTGTGTTATCATTTATATATATATATATATATATATATATATATATATATATATATATCATTTAAAACATTATTTTGTGGATATTCATATTTGATTAGACGCTCCGTTTGTTTATTAAACAATATATTTATTTATTCCCGTCTACCGGCTTGAATATTCGAGAAATCCCACTAAAGAAAAATATGCGCCCCACCCCAAGCAGGATTCGAAACTGCGTCACTCTGGGCAGAGGAAACTAAAAATAACGTTAAAATAACGTTTAAATTGATAAAATCTGCCGGATTAATAAAAAAATAAAAAAAAACATTACTTCTCTAGAAATTGTTTTGTTTACGTTGGATATGAAAATTGAGCAGATATGAAATTTCGAAAGTCTTTAACAGGAAGGATTCCGCTTAAAGGGACTCTTTAGACTTACTTGGTCGGGATTTTCTTCGGGGTTGAGCCAGTGTAATCACGTTATATTTAACAACAGTTCCCTCTGCCCAGGGCGACGCAGGTTCGAATCCTGCCGGAGAATTCATATATTTCCTTGATGAGATTTCTCAAATATTCAGACCGTTCGACACATATATATGTGTATGTGTGTGTGTGAAAAAGAAGATGAAAATGCAACTGGAGTCTTTAATAATATCTACCGGTTTCTCAGTTCTGTAATTTTCAAAAGTTAAATTGAGATGTAGAGACTTGTGACTAATCTATTTTGCATCTGACTGGTGTCGGAGAATCCTTCTGTTTTTTTTTGGGGGGGGGTCAGAAAAAAATTATCTTTATTTTTATTTTTTTCAGAAAAATGATGGCTCAGATTGCTATCTGTTTAAAATGCAATCTGATTGCTTGATTATGATTACACGATCTTCCTGATGTCATCAATTTTCAAGTAGGCATTATGTAGATGACACAACCATTTTATCCTGTCTTAGT